GAGACAAGAACCCACCCACATCACTGCTGCTGCTCCTGCTCCTGCTGCTGCTCCTGCTGCTGCTTGAGCCGACACGCAGCAGACTCGGGCAGTGTGCGCATGGACTCGGGGACTGTTCGGCTGCTTTTTGCATTTGCCACGTACCTAACCACATCACATTTGAATGAATGCATCACCCCGTTACACGCAGACAAGTCCTAGTAATGGACACAACGAAGTGCGCTGCCACATTGGGCCGTGGTGGTGGTGGCGGCTGTCAGTGCGCGACTGCGCTCGCAATCCAATCTCCCGGTGCGGCAGCTTGAACCGCCGAGCGAGTTGCGTTTACAATGTTGCGTACGTTGAACTTCTTTCGCACCGTACGTAGCCAATTGCGCTAATCGGAGGTGCGAGTAGGAAGGGCAAAACACTAAACACAAAAAGCAGGTTTTTTTTTTTTTAAATAAATGAGTTTGTCAATAATCAAGATGAATTAAAAGCGCGGAGCTCCCAGTGGCTTCTTAATATCGGAAGGAAGAGCGCGTTCCAGACGGCCACAGAAGCGCATCTGAAAGCACCGCGCGATGCGTTGACCGCCGTATTTGTTCGACGACTCGCCAAAAGCCGCTGCGAGGATGACCGCGGTTCGCGTGATGATGGTTTAGGTTGACATTTATGGGTTCACCACCAGTTATTCGGTCGCAGATCACGCGTGGTGGGGGTAAAACGTGGGTACGTTCACTACTTTCAACTCGCTCAGCGGAGGAGTAGACCGAATACCCTTCAGGATCGGCTCTCTGTGAGCTTCCTCTACTCCTAGTCGAGGCCCTCTTCCGCCTTTACCTTTTATTTTACCGTAACTCTGCCGCCGTGCGGTTTGTACCGTACGACGTTCTCGCGGTGCCAAAATCCCACCGGAGACGATTGACCGTTGTGGACGCTTTTGCAATCGGTTCACCAATGCAATGACGAAATCTTTGCTGTATCGCTTCACGGATTATCGGTGGTGGTTGGTGGTGGTGGTGGCTGACTGAACACAAGTGCCGGAGATACCTTGGGCAATGCAAGGGGTGGTAGGTGGTACGATTCCCAATACCGAGTTTTTATGAGATGAGTTTATCTTCAGAAATAGCAGCAGCATAATCAGGAGATCTGTGATCGGATTAAGGGCTGCTCACGCCTCATCATGAAGTTGTGGTTTTCTTTATTCCCACGTGCAGCGATTCATTTTTGTTGTTGCCGTTGCCTCTTTACCCAAAGATAAACGAGCGTCGAGTCTCGCCAGTGACGGGAATTAATGTGTGGTGGCAAGGACCCAAAGCCCGAGTTTTAAATAATAATAAATAATAATAATAAAACCACGGCACCACTTGTCAAGATAATTATGGGCACCTGGGTCGCTCCGTCGAGATGAATGTTGCACGCGCATCTGAAACTAATTAAAGCGAAATCGTTTTGTACTATGTAGGGAAGGCGGTGTTCCCCTCGACCGTCCCCCCTCCCCCCCAAATGATATTCACCGATAGAATAGAGTGGCCTTCAACCCTAAAGATATCCGAAGCCTTTAGTTGTCCGTGGTTCCCGAACCAAAACAAAAGCGGCGCACGCAGACGACGACATCTCGAGCGAGAGCGAGGTGGCTCCAACGACATCTTGAGAGAGTTGGCCCCGACGCCAGCGAGTAGACTTGACTTTGAAACAACTTTTATTGCCGCCAGCAGCAACAGCACTGGAGGCGATTCCGATATGAAATACACAAAGTCACCAGCAACACAAATGAAAATAAACGCTATAAATCCGCGCGCTGTGGCGCTAAAAGCACCGCGCACAACACGAAAGAAAAGTCACGTGGTGGTTGTGGTGTTCATCGCGCACGCCACGGTGACGAGCGAGAGCTTCAGAAGGTGAACATGAGGGTGCCGTCCACGCTGGTACAGAGGGCTTTTCCGGCCCCCCAGCGTTCGAAGAAGACGTGCACATCACCGACATGTGTGTGGTATGCGTGCTCCAGCCAGAGCCGTGCCTTAAGCAGGCCTCTGAACACTGGAAGCACCACAGAGCAGCCGTCAGTGTCACCTTGCAGCATCTTATTCTTAGTTTTTTCGGTAAAGTCACGTTGAAGGGAAACAACAAAATAATAATATAAATAATAATATAAATATCTATTATGTATATTTTATTATTTTGTTGTTTCCCTTCAACGTGACTTTACCGAAAAAACTAAGAATATGAATTACTGCAGTCACGAAAGCTTTAAATCAAAATTTGCAGCATCTTTTTACCTCGTTCTGTACACCGCCATCTTCGCCTGAGCACAGGCGAAGTTGGCGAGGTCATGGCGCTTGTTAGTCAGGTAAGGCACCCCATATACGAAGCTGCTGTTGTAGAAGGGTACCACCAGTCTCCTGAAGATGTCCCCCAAAAGGCGGAACATTGGTTTGAGCCGCTGGTAATGTAAGTAATGGTGGGGCAGATCCTCCCTGGCACCGCAGGAAATGCACCAAGTCTGTTACCCCCGGCGAGATTCGGCTGAGCCACACGGCCGATGGCAACGTGCAGTGTGCCAACCTCCACTGGAGGTCACGCGAGTCGAGAGAGGGGCCCACTCTCGAAACGTCGCTCGACTCTGCACGCTGCGCAGATTAACACCCAGCAGGAGTAGGGCTTTCGCGACCAATATCCATAGTAGAGGGTTATTTTGGGGGGGGGGGGTTTGATCACGTAAATATAAGTGTGTCGTTAAACCCGCCACCACCCGACACAGCCAATTAGTAAGGTTTGTCACGTCAACAAAACGTGCCAAATTCGTTACTAGTTCAGCACACACCGGTTGTGTGCTGGAGAGTAAACCCACCACAACATTTACCATTCGAGTACCGTGACGTTTACGACGGACATTACAACAACAACAACAACCGGCCTCAATTAGGTGGCAGGCGGAGAAATCCTCCTCCCTGTTTGGGCCTCAATTAGAGAGACGTGCGCGGGTAGGCCACCGCTGCAGTGGCCCTCGAGAGGCAGCTGCGGACCATCTGCCCCTAAGGGGGCCTTCAAGTGGCCTCCACTCATTCTGGGCGCCGCGCCCCTGAATTTTGGCGACTCGCCTCGCGAATTTCACACGTGCGAGGCGCAAATCACGGCGGCCACCCCTTTGAGTGGCCCACGGGCCTTTCCTGAAGAGAACGGTGGACGCGTCGTCAAGGTCACGTGTTTTTGTCTCTTTCAAGTCCAGCTTCCGTAACGTTTAGAGATGACGGATGCTCTCCGTAGCTCTAGAGCAGTGGCTCTTCAACTTGGGGGGGGGGGGGGGGGGTGCAAGATGCCCTCTCTGGGGGTGCGAGAAGGTAACTTATCGAAAACACAAATGAAGCAAAGGCACGTTAATTACAACTTCCTTTGTCTCAACAACCCCCTACGTATTTATTAACGTTATCAAAAACAAATTAACGATTGAGAACCAAAAGGGTGCGAGGCTGCAGTAAGAGGTTAAGAAGCACCGCTCTCGATGCTGTCTCTCCGCGAGCTGTTCCCTGAGCCTGGAGGAGCTCTTTTGGTGTGGACTGAGCTGTCTCCTCGTGGCGCGCACGTCTCTCCAGGCACGGGGTCAATGCGCTGGACCGTGGCCAGGGCCCTGGAAGGGTCCTCACGGGCGGAATTCTCTCTCAGCGCCGAGCAGGCACGCGGCCTCTCGGGGCTGCTGAGCGGTGTCAGATTTCACATAATCATCTGCCCCAGCTGCTAGCCAATTATAAATTGGTTTAGTAAATTAAATACATTTTTTAGGGGGGGGGGGGGGGTCGGTGGGGAGAACTCGTGCGTGATGTGATCAGAGGACAGCATCGGTCTTTGGCAGGGGTAGGTCTGTGGCTGGTGGTGTCGGGGTAGCGCTCCTTGTGACTACTTTTCTCTTGTTGTTTCGGGCTCCACACACACCGTGAGATTGGCCATCACCCCTGCCTCGGGGTCACTAAAACCCGTAAACCAGTGACCTCTCTCCAGCTACAGGGTAGGCGATCTCGTATTAAAGGACGCAGTTTGCTGTGATGAAGGTCGAGTAGTACCCGAGCACAAATCAGCAGCCCGGTGACAACACGAAGTCACGGTGGGGGGTCACGGTGGGGGGTCACGGTGGGGGGTCACGGTGGGGGGTCACGGTGGGGGGTCACGGTGAGGGGTCACGCGAGCCCCAGGGCGCGACCACGAGCCAGGCGGGCCACGCGTGAGGAGGCCCCCTCGAGGCACCACCACCAGCGGCTGCTGCTGCAGGTCCAGCTCACGGTGGCCCTCCGCTCTGGGAGGCGGAGCTGGGCTGGCGAGAGTCCGGAGGCTCTGCGAGCTGCGTGGAGCACAGCGCGGCACCAGCGGCGGCCACGCCGGGGGGCGGTCGCCTGCTGCGCTGGGGCCACGCAAACAGCGAATCTCAACACGCGCCCGGCAGGCTGGGCCCTCTGGGCCCTCCCGACCGTCACTCTGATGAGACGCTGGATATTTAAACCGTTTATGGGTGGGCGTTTGTGTGTGAGGGCGTGGTTTGTGGGTGGGGGCGTGGATTGTGATTGGGGGCGTGGTTGGTGGTTAGGGGCATGACTAGTGGGCGGGAAGTGGCTCGTTCGGGGCGTGGTTAGTGGTTGGGGAGGCGTTGCTAGTCGGGGGACGGGGGTTGTGGGTGGGAGGCGTAGTTTGCGGATGGAGGCGTGGTTAGTGGGTGGGGGCTTGGTTTGTTGCTGGGGGCGTGGTTTGTGGATGAAGGGGCGTGGCTTGCGGCTGGAGAGCGTGATTTGTGTGTGGGGGCGTGGTTAGTAGGTGGGGGCTTGGCTTGCGAGTGGGGGCGTGGTCTGTATGTGGAGGCGTGGTTTGTGGCTGGGGGCATGGTTTGTGGCTGGGGCGTGGTTAGTTGCTGAGGGCGTGGTTTGTGAATGGGGGGCCTGGTTAGTGAGTGGGGGCGTGGTTTATGAGTGTGGGCGTGTTTGTTGGATGGGGGCGTGGTTTGTGGGGGTGGTGGTGCGTATGTGGGGGCGTGGTTTGTGTCTGGGGGCGTGGTCTGTGTGCGCGCTGCAGGTAAGCGGGGCATTCTCGCTTCGTCCCGGAGCCGTACGCAGGTGAGACCACAGCGCGGTACACAACGCAGACAACACCACACACACATACATAACACACACTACACACACACAACACACACACTACACACACACACTACACACACACACTACACACACACTACACACACACAACACACACTACACACACTACACACACACAACACACACACAACAACACACACACCACACACTACACACACACACAACACCACACAACACCACACACAACACAGACAACACCACACACACCACACACACACACACATAACACACACTACACACACACAACACACACACACAACAACACACACACCACACACTACACACACACACAACACCACACAACACCACACACAACACAGACAACACCACACACACAACACCACACACACACACACAGCACCACACAGACAACACCACACACACACAACACCACACACATCACAACGCAGACAACACCACACACCACACACAACACCACACAGACAACACCACACACAACACAACGCAGACAACACCCCACACAACACAGACAACACCACACACACACAGCACCACACACACAACACCACACAGACAACACCACACACACAGCACTGTGCTCTACACCACACAGACAACACCACACACACAGCACTGTGCTCTACACCACGCACACAGACAACACCACACACACAACACCACACACACAGCACCACACAGACAACACCACACACACACAGCACCACACACACAACACCACACAGACAACACCACACACACAGCACTGTGCTCTACACCACACAGACAACACCACACACACAGCACTGTGCTCTACACCACGCACACAACACCACACACACAGAACCACACACACACAGCACCACACACACAGCACTGTGCTCTACACCACACACACAGCACCACACACAGCACTGTGCTCTACATCACACACACAGACAACACCACACACACAACACCACACACACAGCACCACAGAGACAACACCACACACACAACACCACACACACAGCACCACACAGACAACACCACACACACAGCACCACACACACAGCACCACACAGACAACACCACACACACAGCACCACACACACAACACCACACACACAACACACACAGACAACACCACACACAACACCACACACACAGCACCACACACACAACACACACACACAACACCACACACACACAACACCACACACACACAACACCACACACACACAACACCACACACAGACAACACCACACACACAGCACCACACAGACAACACCACACACACAGCACCACACACACAGCACCACACAGACAACACCACACACACAGCACCACACACACAACACCACACACACAACACACACAGACAACACCACACACACAACACCACACACACAGCACCACACACACACAACACCACACACACACAACACCACACACAGACAACACCACACACACAGCACCACACAGACAACACCACGCACACAGCACCACACACACAGCAAACCACGCGTGGCACAGCGGCACATCACGGTCTCATTATTAGTGTTATAATACACTATGAGTACACACACTATGAGTACACTATGAGTACACACACACTATGAGTACACACACTATGAGTACACACACTATAAGTACACACACTATGAGTACACACACTATGAGTACACTATGAGTACACACACACTATGAGTACACACACTATAAGTACACACACTATGAGTACACACACTATGAGTACACTATGAGTATACACACTATGAGTACACTATGAGTACACACACACTATGAGTACACACACTATGAGTACACTATGAGTACACACACACTATGAGTACACTATGAGTACACACACTGAGTACACACACACTATGAGTACACTATGAGTACACACACTATGAGTACACTATGAGTACACACACTATGAGTACATTATGAGTACACACACTATGAGTACACTATGAGTACACACACTATGAGTACACTATGAGTACACACACTATGAGTACACTATGAGTACACTATGAGTACACACACTATGAGTACACACACAGAGTACACACACACACTATGAGTACACTATGAGTGCACACACTATGAGTACACACACAGACACCCAAAGTCGAAACTCGCTGATCACACACCCAAAGTCAAAACTCGCTGATCACACACCCAACGTCAAAACTCGCTGATCACACACCCAACGTCAAAACTCGCTGATCACACACCCAAAGTCGAAACTCGCTGATCATACACGGAACGTCAAAACTCGCTGATCGCACACCCAAAGTCAAAACTCGCTGATCATACACCCAACGTCAAAACTCGCTAATCACACCCAAAGTCAAAACTCGCTGATCACACACTGAACGTCAAAACTCGCTGACCACACACCCAAAGTCAAAACTCTCTGATCACACACTGAACGTCAAAACTCGCTGATCACACACCCAAAGTCAAAACTCGCTGATCACACGGAAAGTCAAAACTCGCTGATCACACACCCAAAGTCAAGACTCGCTGATCACACACCCAAAGTCAAAACTCGCTGATCATACACCCAACGTCAAAACTCGCTGATCACACCCAAAGTCAAAACTCGCTAATCACACACCCAAAGTCAAAACTCGCTGATCACACACCCAAAGTCAAAACTCGCTGATCACACACCCAAAGTAAAAACTCGCTGATCATACACCCAACGTCAAAACTCGCTGATCACACCCAAAGTCAAAACTCGCTGATCACACACTGAACGTCAAAACTCGCTGATCACACACCCAAAGTCAAAACTCGCTGATCACACACCCAAAGTCAAGACTCGCTGATCACACACCCATAGTCAAGACTCGCTGATCACACGGAAAGTCAAAACTCGCTGATCACACACCCAAAGTAAAAACTCGCTGATAACACACTCAACGTCAAAACTCGCTGATCACACACCCAAAGTCAAAACTCGCTCATCACACACGGAAAGTCAAAACTCGCTGATCACACACCCAAAGTCAAAACTCGCTGATCACACGGAAAGTCAAAACTCGCTGATCATACACCCAAAGTCGAAACTCAATGATCACACACCCAAAGTCAAAACTCGCTGATCACACCCCACACTCTACCTGTACACATTTTTCAACCCCACGCTGCCTAAACGAATCGCTTCCCCAGGACGTCGTGTGGGCTGATGGGCTGTGTAAAAAAATACTCTGCAACTTTTATGTCTTAGAGAGAGAGATGTGTGTGTGTGTCCGTGAAGGTTTAAGCACAACGCCTGAACTCCGCTGCTGATGAGACACTGGCTGTCGAAGCCGGTCCCGCGGTTTGCTTGTGTGTTGAACCAACTCTGCCGATGTTAGGCGCTGTGCAGAAAGCCGTGTGGGCTGATGGGATCTGTTAAAAACAAAAAAAAAAAGTTTGTGTTAGGTGGAGGGACAGATATACGAAGGGAGTCTTGTGTCCGCTCAGTTATTTTAGTTCTATTTTAGTCGGTGTGTGTCTTTTACACACACACACACGTTACATACAGAGTGGTCCAATCTCGTAAGCTAATCAGGTGTTTAGCCTGGATAGTGCTTGAATGCGCGATCAGCGTGGGGAAGTATGGTCAAATACCCCCCCCCCCCCCATCATCCAGCAGTGGAGTGACACAGGAGCTTGCACAACATCACGTGGTACATTCACGAGCATTGCGTTCGCAAACTCTCAACCGGTTTTGACATTCCGGGCTTTTATCAGTCGAGTCAAGATTGTTAAACAAATACTACCCTGTTAGTAGTACTACTGCTGCTACTATCACCTGTTGTTGTTATTGTTGTCGCTGAGAGTATGGGGGTCTAAGAGTGAGGGTGTGAGAGCGAGTGTGGGTGAGAGAGTGGATGAGTGTGGGTGAACATCTTCGCCGGTTAGAAACATTTAGGCTCGCCTGCCTACGATCCATCCTCGGTTCGACCAGGCTGGATTGTGTGAGGAGCTCACAAATCCTTGAAAGATCTGGACAAAGTCCCATCGGTGAGCTCCTCTGGCAGGCAATCCTGCGTTGGCTGGGTCATGTAGCCCGCATGCCCAGCCACCGCATGCCGAAACAGCTTTTGTTCGGCCGGATCGAGGGGGTTAAACGGGCGCGGCACGGGCTAGATAAGAGATGGAGTGATGTGGTACAGGAGGACGTGAAGCTGAGTTGACTTGCCGATCACTGGTACCAGCGGTGTCAAGATCGGCCTCTGTGGAGGAGGCTCGTGAAGGACGCTGCTACTGAGCAGTTGGAGGCAGTTGCCCTCCAACAACAACGGAGGGCGGAGGAGCGACGCTCACAACAACGAGTGGAGCGCCGTGTGGCTAAAGCACAGCAAGTTGGCATAGTAGGGGGCACAGGTGGTGCATCAGCCAGTCGTCTCAGCCAGTCGTCTCAGTCAGTCGATCTGTGGCATCTGGGTCTGCCCCGTGACCTCCTGCCAGTGGGCGTTCGACACTTCACGTGGCCTCAAGGTGCACATAGCCTGGCACAAGCATCGTGGTGGTGACGTCACCGCCACTTAGCGGCGAGTGGCGGTTGTTGTTGTGGGTGAGAGAGTGAGTGTGGGTGAGAGTGTGTGTGAGAGAGTGAGTGAGTGAGAGAGTGAGTGAGGGTGAGAGGGTGAGAGTGAGAGGGTGAGGATGAGAGAGTGATTGAGGGTGAGAGGGTGAGGGTGAGAGAGTGAGTGAGGGTGTGTGAGGGTGAGAGGGTGAGTGAGGGTGAGAGTGTGAGCGTGTGAGAGTGAGCGAGGGTTAGAGAGTTAGGGTGAGAGGTGAGTGAGGGTGAGTGAGGGTGAGAGGGTAAGGGTGAGAGGGTGAGGGTGAGAGGTGAGTGAGGGTTAGAGGTGAGTGAGGGTGAGTGAGGGTGGGAGAGTGAGAGTGAGTGAGGGTGAGAGCATCAGAGGGTGGGTGAGAGGGTGAGTTAGAGGGTGAGTTAGAGGGTGAGTGTGTATTTGAGAGTGAGTGTGAGTGAGGGTGAGTGAGAGTG